TGTGCCTGCTGGACTTTATCATCAGGTGCTTCTTGATCTAGGTAAACTTCAAGGAATTTCAAACTGAACCCTTTATTTAATTTGGGGGTGGAGGTAGAGTGTTCCCATTCTACTGATCATATCTAGAAATATCTCATCTAGTTATTATTTAGTACTGCTCAGTTATTGCTTACCCCATTTCTACTGAGTCCAAGTACAAACTGTCTAGCCCAAGCATTGATCTCAGAATTTCTATGTTATCAAATTTATGCATGACAAGTAATAGCAGCACTCATTATCAGACAGGTTAGGCTTAAGGTTCCACTCAGTATTATCCAACAATGGATTAAAGCATTAGTTTGTGAATTTAGTAATACAGTAATTATGTGTTCAAGTTGTGAGCATTATAAAAGTTATATTTAAAGGAGTTGGCTTGTATAAATATTTTCAATACAAATCATTTTTTTTAAATTCTTATAGATCTATTGTAATTTGAATGTTTGTAGTAAAATACTAATAAATTAAAAAAAAAAACACCAGTGTTTAAGTACAATCAGATGAAGACTTCACTATTATTTCACATCAACATTTTTATTAACAGATTAGTTACATCATTGACAGAAATAGACTTGTAAGTGTTTTGCTGATTACTCTTAAAATCTTTTTGCGTGTTTAACAATTAAATGGTACCAGGAAATACCCTCCTGAGGGAGGAGGCAATTTTTAAATCATATATTTTGTAATTACATTTATTCTAACAAATATAGTTAAATGCACAACATTATATAACAGTGCTTGCCATGTTTGCATTTTCAGATAGGATAGCAAAGGTAAATTGACCAGGTAAAACATCATAGACAAATAAGCTGCTCGTTACAATATTTTATTGCTTTGCCATGTATGTAGAAGCATTTTCTTGGAAAAGATTCTCTTGGTTTTTATTGTTACCACTTGTCCACTCTTGGAAGCAACCCTTTTTTGCAATATATTTTGGTATACCTTCTCATTAATGTACTTCTCACATTGTACCAGTTCACCAATACCAGATGTAAACCCACCCCTATACCATAATTTCATCTCCATGCTTCACTGGATGAGATAGGTATTCTGGATTAAATCTTTCACTTGACAGAACATTGTGGAACAACAGTAGACAGCTCAAAGCTCAAACTCATCATGTCAGAGAAAACTCAAACAACTGCATTTCATGTCATAAAATGGCGAAAATTTGAATCAGTCTTCTACATTCTATGTGGACATCAATAATTTCTTTACACAGTCTTTTTGAAATCGCTAAAGATGATTTTTGAGTTTCTGAATTCTTGTACATATTTCATTACATTATTTTTATAATGATTCAGAACAAATATTTTCAGTTTTCTCTCATCTTAGCTTGTTGTCACTAAGTCTTCCAAAACCTGCTTCCTGTACCAGAGAACCTGGTACTTGAAATGTGTAGGCAATTCTCTGAATTGTAAATAATAGAATTTGGATAACCTCAAGTTTGAAAAGTTTCTAAATATCCAAATAAAATTTTACTGCTTGACAAAGATCAACACTCTTGCTTCTGACTTCAACTCTTTAGGTAGAGTGTAACAATACACAGAGATAATGGATGGTTAATGTTGTCACCAAAGTTAGAATTTAGTCAACTAGTATAATCAGTTTGGTTTATTAATTTATTTTAAGTTTATCTGAAATCGCACACACTTGTTCTTGTAGACAAAAACATGAATCTGACTTTAAAAGTGAATCAGAATCTGACCAAATTTAAAGCAGATAAGACTGGTGAAGAACAGCCAAAATTTTCTCAAAAAAAAATTCAAATAGCTGACATACAAACTTAGCATATTTGCTGTTATCATTGCATGTTTTTTTGAGCAGAGCTCATATTGCAATTTTCATTGTTATTATTCTTTTTCTCTAGCACTCCTTATTACAGGTTGCCATATTGTATTCATTTCTATGCTTGGTTAGCTCAGGCGATTTTTGTGGCCTAGCACATGTGCTGATTCCTTAAGAAACTGGCAAACCATCTGACATTCCTACACCGATGCAGAGACCTACAACTCATCCCTTCAGGCTTGGCACCAAGACTTCCCATCAATTCAAGGAGAGTCTGGTTGCAGAAAAAGTGGGACATGCCCTTGTCCAAGAGAGAATCCAGTACAATTGTTGGATAAAACAGACTTCAAGCTCATATCTCCCAGAGGCTTGAGGATTTCTTCAACGGAATTACCAATGAAGAAGACTGAAGAAGGATCCAAAATGACCTGGATGAATCCTTCAGACATGAATTTGATGTAGTCATGGCTCGCGCCAAGTACAAAAATTAGATAGATTGAACAGAAGGTGATGTGCAAGGTCTATCACCCACCAGTGAAAGCAGTAATCAACATCAGCCAATATCAGCTGAGTGCCTCTTAGGATCAGTATTAAATATGGGTCTCAACTTCGCCACAACCATCAGGTGAGTGCCATACTTGGACATCATTGCCAGAATCGAGGAAGTGGCCTTGAACTTACCTCAGGCTCAGGCAGATGAGCTAAGATGGAGGGTGAGACAGACCTTGGAGAAAGCCAAGCCGCCCAAGTCAAACATCACGAAACCGGAGAGGCTGGCAATCAGGTCCCTACAGAGGAACGAAAATATAATCATACTACCGGCTGACAAAGGCAATGCTACTGTAGTGATGGACAAATCAGATACAGGTAAACTGGAAGACCTCATTAGAAATGGTAGCTACAGCAAAGTAAAAAAGGATCCTACAATGAAAACAAAATGCAAACTGTCACAGATACTAATCCAGAACAAGGATCACTTCACACCTAAGATGTATAGGCAGTTGTCGCAGCGTTACACCAAACTACCTCACATATATGGTCTCCCTAAGATTCACAAAAAAGTTATTCCTCTCAGGCCAATTGTTAGTTGACAAGGCTGTGTGCCACCCTCTGAATCGCTTCCTTGTAGATATAATTGACCCATTGATCAGAAAGTCACCTTCATATGTCTGAAACTCCACCCACTTCGTGAAAATAACCAAAGATGCCCCCACCTATCCAACCAGATGGTGAGCTTGGATGTGGTGAGTTTGTTCACCAAGGTGCCCATGGAGGAGGCACTCTCAGTAGTCAGAGACAGATTGGCCTCTGACTCATTCTTAGAAGAATGGACCAGTATTCCAATAGATAATCTGATGGAGATGTTGACTTTCTGTACACAAACAACATACTTTGGAATGGAATCAAACATATATCGGCAAGATGAGGGCTTAGCAATGGGCTCACTATTATCACCAGCAATGGCGAATATATACATGGAATACTTTGAGGAAATGGCATTAGAGTCTATATCTCTAAGGCCATTTTTGGAATGTCTTCAATATTCATTGACTCATATCTTTTATTCTGCAGAGAAAAGTATTTTTTAAAAATAAAATCTGCTTCTTTTTAAGAATATACATATCCACCAATGTTTCACCTATCCTTCCAATAATCACAATGGAAAAAAAACTATGATTAAGATACGTAGATGACACCTTCATACTCTGGCCACACTAGGAAGATGTTCTACTGGACCATGTGAACTCAATAAGACCTTTGATACAGTTCACAATGGAGAAAGAGTAACAACACACTCCCATTGCTGGATGTTCTAATATCTCGAACAGAGCATAAGTTCAAGACATCTGTATACTGCAAACTGACATTCACCGTACAGTACCTCAATTTCAACTTCCACCATCCACACAGCATAAAGAAAGGGATCATCCGCTGCTTACAACATCGAGCAAAAGTCATGTGGTGACCCAGAGACATTAGATAAAGAATTGGTCTGTATAAGCAGTACCCTACAACGTAACAACTACCCTGGGTACATGGCAGCAGCCCAATAAACTGGGATAGGTGGGTAGAAGAGGACAACAACTCAGAAAACAGTCTGCCTGTCTTATGTGAAAGGGTTATCAGAGAAAATACAAAAGATCTGTGGCCCATATAACATCAGGACAACCTTCAAAAGAAGCTGGACGACACTTTGCAGATACCTCCCCCGAGTAAGACCCCCAATAGAGGAGAACATGACTAAAGACTGTGTGTACGCTATCCCGTGCAGCTGCGGAAAGAAATATAAAAGGGAGACAGACCACCCCCTTAAGGTAAGGCTTCAAGAACACCAAAAAGCTGTAACACAAGGGGAAGTGGAAAAATCGGGCATGGCTGACCACATATGGAGAGAAATGGAAAATCACTGCCCTCTGTGGGATTAGGTTGAAATCATAGACAAAGAAAATCATTAGAAAATTCGTAAACTTAAGGAATCGGCACATATGCTAGGCCACAAAAATCTCCTGAGCTGACCAAGCACAGAAATGAATACAATATGGGAACCAGTAATAAGGAGTGCCAGAAAAAAGCAATAATAACAGCAAAAATTGCAATATGAGCACTGGTAAAAAATGTTGCTGAAGACATTAGGTTTATAATACTCAGAAATTCATACACAGAGGTCCTCAAGGACACATGGCACAGTGGATAGACGTTAGTTAGATCCAGTGACAGGACCCAAAGAGTGTGAGTTCAATACCTGGTTAAGGCAGTGGAGAACTTGGAGAGGGGAATTAACAGGAGATAACTAATAACTGACATCCATTAGACATGGCACATGGAACTAGAACAGTCTACCCCAGTGAGCAAAATAAAGGGTTCAATTCAACATTCCAACTACCAATGGCCAAAACGTTGTGATAAATATGGCAACAAGGATGAGGATGATAGTCCAAACAATGTAAATAGTGTACACAGTACCACATCTCAGAAATATAGACAGATACATTTTGTCTCTATTGAATTAAAAAAGAATTGCATAAAATATTTATTTTCTGAAAAGAGTAGCTGAATATATCTGCAGATATATAAAACAAAATGAACATATAACAATCACAAAAAGGGGGCAGCAGCATGCATGCATGTAGAAGGATTTGAGGACCATGCAAAGCAGGTGGAGCATGCTTTCTTACCTGGGACATGTAAAGGCACAGACAGATCAATATCAGCTACTGGAATGTCTTCAATATTCATTGACTCATATCTTTTATTCTGCAGAGAAAAGTATTTTTTAAAGTAAAATCTGCTTCTTTTTAAGAATATACATATCCACCAAGGTTTCACCTATCCTTCCAATAATCACAATGGAAAAAAAATCATTTAATATTACTATGCCTAAAATATTATGTCTTCATAAAGGATGTATAATAAAGAATATTGAATTACTTCAATTTTCAAGTCTTTAAAATCATAATATAGACAAATATTGTAGAGATGAATAAACCCATTAGAACCAATTAAATTTCTTAAGATATAGACTTATTTAATAATAAACCATTGGAACAAATCCACAATTCATATATATATTAAAAAGAATAACTTGAAGGCCCACAAACTGGTAATTTATGCAACATATTTACATAATTCTGTACAAAAAATGAAAATATGTTTCTCACATGGCGTTCTATATTAACAGGCTTCTGCGTAGCGCTGCTACCTTGATAGCTGGCAATTAGATCGTTTTAGTTTCAGTTTGAGCAAACAACGGGCTGCGTACTGTGTTACGCTTTATGTTGTTGGCTTGACGAAATTCAAAGGAATCTTTTAATTTTACCTTTAGTTGGAATATCATTTAACTTATTTATTTGAAGTAAGTATATTTGATTATTTTAGTTTGAGTTAGTTTGAGTCCATAATTATTTAAAAAAAAGTAAACTTGGTGCTTAAATTTACTCTTCACAAAAAAGATTTACTTCCTGGCAAAAAAAGCCTTAACATTTTTAAATTAAAGTTTAATTCATTTTTGGCATTTACCCTCTTAAAGTTTGTTCAACATTTTTTGATTAAAGTTAAGAATTATTTATTGATAAAATAAAATGCAATTCTTTTTGAGTAATTTGTTTTAAGAAGCAAAACAAAACAACGTTTAACAAATTTGAACAGAATTTAATTTAGTTTCTTCAAAGACGAAAAAAAACTATTTTATTATAAAATGAATTAAAAATGTTTTTTTTTCATCAAATTTCAATGTCATTACTTAATTTGATATTTATTTTTGATATTATTTAAAAAAACATTGTTAGTATGAGTCCCAAAAACATAACATCAACGAAATTAAAGTTTAATTTTTTCAAGTTTTTAACCATGATAAAAATTAGCATAAGTCAACATTTTTTCATTAAAAGTTTAAGTTTGAATAATAAATTTGAATAAAATTTTAATAGAGAAAGGTTCATTAACATTTCTCTATTAAAACTTTATCCAACATTTCCATTAAAATAAAAAAGACAAGAAAAACGAATTTTCGAGTACTATTTTTTGTTTCCGAGGTTAAAGAATAAATGATTATTTTTACTACATTAGTTACCAATTGGTGAACTGTAAGTATTTTTTACTTATTAGAATTAAAGAAAAAAAATAATAATAAATTTATTACATGCAGTTAATGTCAATATTTTAATTTTTTTTTTTTTTTTTTAAAAAAGATCTCCTTTTTTTACGCCTTTTTGATTACAAAATTTATTTTACAAGACAAGTGTAATAATACCATTTTTTTTATTTATCATATTTATTTTAATATTTTTCTGATATTGTTGTTAAAGGACAAAATGCATTATTTTTACTTTACTTTTAATTGTTTTGCTTTAAGGTAAAAAAAAAAAAAAAAAAGTTTTGTTCATCTGTTGAAAAATATTCTGCAATTTGTGGCTGACAGAAAAAACAGGAGAACTAATAGTTTTTGATGATGATGGAGTAAGTCTTAGTTGCAAATGGACACATCTTAAACAGTTATATCATTTTGAATCTGAAAGACTAGTCAAACTTTCAGATTTAAATGAAATTTCCATTGCTCCAAAGCCAATAGAAAAAGTAAACTTTTCTACTTGCCTCAGAGTGTTTTCTGAAAAAACATATAATGCACTTCTCACTCAGTCTGAAATAAGTGCAGGTAAGAATGATTTGCCCTCTTCATAAACAAGGTTTTGACATAGTGGAAAATGTTAAATGCCTTCAAATTGATTTTTTTACATAATGATCCTCTACAAGCTGAAATCAAATCTCCAAATGACACTTTTTTTTTATCATTGAATTTGTAAAATGGTTTTAATATGGCTGGCAGTCAAGGTAATCGTAAAAAACAATTATCCCAAAACACTGCTACTGCCATACATCATATTTGCAATGGAATTGTTAGTCTATGTCAACACCTTTTAGCTACAAGTCATAAATATGTACTACTTGGGCAATTTTCAACTGATCCATTAGAAAAAGAATTTGGTAAACTTCGCCAAGGATCAGGTGGCACCTATTTTATAAATGTTCAACAATGTATTGAAAAGCTGCATATTAAGCAGACATCTTTACTTTTAAATCAAAATGTAAATATTGATGAATTTGATGTTAATCCAGGTCACCAATGTACATCTTGTGATTATAAACTTTGTGAGGAAGGTTCAGAAATATTTGACAATCTAGAAAATTTAGAACCATCTCTTTCCAATGAAATAAAAATGGCTCTTGTGTACATAGCTGGATATATTACAAGAAATGATAATCAACCCAGTGAATGTGAAACCCATTTTTATTATGAAAAGTATGGAAAATATACCAATTTAATTGACTGTGGAAAACTAAAAGTTCCTTCTGACCACACTTGTCAATGGTTATTTTTTTTGTTTCATCCTTTTCCATACAATAAAGGAAAAGGTTTGCTATAAATCATTAAGTAACATTTTTATGCTTATTTCTGAGTTTCATTTTTTCAACATGGAGAAAAAGCATGCTTCTATTTTTGCAAATATAGTTTTGAAAATTTTTTGCAAACATGGCACACCTAGATCAGAAAAAGAACCAGCTCTAAAAGTTTTTAAACTTTCCTAGAATGATCTTGTTTTATTTGTCTATATTTCTGTGATGATTGATTGTTATATACACACTTCGGCTGATGTCTTCCAGCCTTCTTGGGTTCTGTTTGTCAAACCCAGTATCTGTAATGTAAATTTAAATCAAAGTCTTTATTCACTCACAGGGAATAAATTGAATAAAGGATTCAGTGACACCTGTAAATAATATAAATTTCTGATTCAATATATCTTTTACCAGAAATCATAATTACCCCTTTGTGTTGTTTAATAATTATCAGTGTTCATAGCAAAAATACATATTTTCATTTATTTATCTTTCAACACATCCTATTATCCTCAGGTGTGAATAAAAATGTTATTCTAAGTATTTCATAAAGTGGTTGACTTCATTTTCTTCTAAAATTTCTGAAAATCCTACATTTTTCAATAGGCCTCCAGTTCTGGCTCTCAGTTGCTCCATGACTTGGCCTGGAGTATAGAACGCCATGGTTTCTCATCAATTAAGCTTATTTCTAGCTTTGATACTTGATCAAAAAGCATATACACTGGAAGCAACATATAAATTTATCAACTAATATGAAATTTATTTTAAATATATTAAATTTAAGAATGAAGTTTGAAACTGATTTTGAAATTATTTTCTAGTTATAATAAAAAAAATAACTGATTTAAATACTGAAAGGAAAACTAAAATGATAAGGATAGTAATTTTAAAGAAATTTTTTTTCTGAAAAAACAAAACATTTCAACATTAAACAGTAACTGTAAAATATCCATTTGGAATATTATATTTTTGTGACAAAGATTTACTATTACATTGTAAGAGAATTAAACCAATTCAACGATAACTATCTAAAGATATCTGCTCTGTTAAGTATTATTGGAATAGTACCATTCCTTGCCAATATTTATTCTGATTAAGTATTATAAATTACTGATAAGTTGTAAAAAGCATTTTTTAAAGCTGTATTTAATGTTAAGAATGAATTCACTATAATTCTGTTAAAGTTCATTTACTGGCGATTATTGTTTTAATCATGTCACTGTGTTCTCTGGTCAAATATTCAGTTATAAAACAAATTTTACTGGATTCTGCCAAAATTTGATATTAATTATTAATAGAAATCAGTGTGAGAATGGCAATAAAAATATAATTGAAACAATGGCTTATTAATTTGAAACCAAGATTTACTAAAAATTAGTATTCAAATGTATAAGCAAACAAGCAGCATCAACTCACCTTGCTTTTACCATCATCCTTCAAATAATGAGGGTTATGCATATTTTCCATTCGTCTTTGTTCTCGCCGCTATAAAAAAAATTTTTTTTAAAAAGTAAGATATTTTTGGGAAAATTTATTCCAAATAGGCCTCTGATCAAATTTATAATAATATTTTTAAAAGACCTAAAAATTTTTTAGTACAGACAAACCTCTCATCTACATACCCCCCATGAATGGACTTCAGATGCAAGAAACAAAATCTGCAGGCAAAATAGAAAAAATCTTCAGGCAAAAAATCTTCCAAATCAGTCAGTGATGTATTTCAAAATTTGTGGGCTTAGCAGAATGAGTTGTATTAGTTCTCAAGGTGACTGCTTGGCAATGATGGTGGGCATTTCAATTGTAAACAAAGATAAGTGTACAGTATATAAAGTACAATACATTAGTGCATATGTGAGAAAATAGCTGTGAAAAATCTATTATTTTTGTTATTTTGATTAATATATCAATTGTTCTACCCTTATCATGGTATCGAAGCAGAAGTAAAGTATAAAAAAAGAAGTGTACAAACCTAAGTATCAGAGGAACTTCACAGCTTCTCTGACTCAGAATAATAAACCAATCTGAATCCCCACTATATGATCACTGCAGAACAAAAAGACTCCAGTTTTCACTATATACACAAGGTAAATAAACTTTAACAAGTTGTAGTGTACATTTTAATATAATAAATATGTTATTGTATTTTTTTTTAACTGTATATATTAATATTATTCCCTTTGAGAGAGAGTGTTATCGATGTTATTCTTTGTGTCATGCTGTGCTGTATTTTTTTATTACTATATATATATATATATATATATATATATATATATATATATATAGGAGTAGGTAGACCCTCCTACTGCCCGGTCAACACTCCTCCCCCTTCCCCTGGACAAGCGCAGAGGCTTACACCTTGTTTCCTGTCTAAGAAGGGGTTCCCGGCACTTTCTCTCTCTCTCTGGCCTCTGTACTAGTACTGATGTGTTTCTCCCGTGACGTGCGCCAGTCTGTGGCATTGCCTCTTCATTTTGAGGGTACACGGTTGACAGTTCACTGGTTGCTGTTTCCGACTGGTAGTTAGGAGCCCTAACTCTTGCGTGGCGTCTTGAGCGGGCTGCTCTGATCAACAGTTGTATAATACAGGGGTGTTTGTAGTGCCATGACGCCGCATGGAACGGTGTCCCTGCAGTCACCTCCGGTGGGCAACCCTGAGGCCACATTATGATGCAGGCTGTGCCAACTCCTCTCTGCTCACGTTGCGGTCAATAACCATCTGCTTCTCTTACTTCAGGCCTTCTCATCTTCCAACAATTACTCAACATGAAGACTCAAATGAACCAAAAAAGTAAACCTAAACCAGCCCCACAAAAATCACCTAAACCCCTCAACATTTAGATTTCGCCAACATCCGTGGCATTAGAACAAACTTCTGCAGTATGGAATCTTTCCTCACTGCAAACTGCCGGATATACTGGCTCTGTGAGACAAACCTTGTCTCGTCTATTCCCTCCTCTGATCTCTCGATCCTCGGCTACCTTCCTCTCCTCAGGAAAGACTCTCTAACCCACATGCACGGCCTTGGTGTCTATGTCAAGGACCATCTCCCCTGGCCAGAGAGTTGTCTCTTGAATCACCAGACCTTTTCGTACATGTGTCTCCGACTATCTCTCCTCAATGCCGTAAGCTATCTCTTCTTCCTCTATCGCTCCCCATCCTCTCAAGACTGTGGGATACTCGATAGCATATCTGACAGCATAGACAAGGCTGGCTCTCTCCACCCGTTTGCTCATATATTCGTGTTTGGTGACTTTAACGCCCATCACACCAAGTGGCTCGAGAATGCCACTACTGACCGGGCTGGCATTCAAACATTTAACTTCTCAATTTCTCAATCCCTCACGCAGATAGTCGACTTCCCACGCTGTTTTGCCCTCGACCTGGCAGGTAAGGCCTCTCTTCTTGATCTGTGTTTTACCTCCATCCCCGAATCTTGTAGCGCCACACAGCTCTGCCCGCTTTATAACTCCGATCACGTTGTGGTATCTGTCAACATTTCCTTCAACTCCCACCCTGCAAAGAACCTCCCATCACAAGAACCTCGTTCTACTATCAACGAGCGGATTGGGACTCGTTCGACTTCCTCCAGTGATGTTGTCTTTACCTCCCCTGTCCAAGAATGTGCTTCTGAGGTCTCATCCTGGGTTAAAGCTGGAACCGACGCTTTCATCCCCTCAAGGAAATTTAAGGTCAAGTCGCACTCCTCCCCTTGGTTCTCCGCTGCTTGCTCATCTGCCATTGCCCATAGGAATCACTTTTTTCACTGATTTCGTAGCGACATGTCGGACTGCAATAGACGTCTCTTTGCCTCTGCCCGTAATGAGTGTAAGCGTGTCCTCAACGAAGCTAAGTCAATATTTGCTGCTTGGATGAAGGAACGTATTGCATCTCGCAAATTTGGCTCCAAAGATTATTGGCGGGTCTGCAAGAGTGTCCTGAACAATAGAAAACCCTCCATACCTCCTTTATTCAACCAGTTCGAGGTCTTGACCTCCTCTACCGACAAGGCTGAATGCTTTGCTCGGAAATTCTCATTTAATTCAACGCTCGACTCCACCAGTGTACCCATACCAGACTTCCCTCCTAGAACTGAGGCCTTACTGAGCGGCTTACACATAACCCCGTCATCGGTACTGGGCATTATCTCCAACTTAGACCCCCACAAGGCTAGTGGTGGAGATGGCATACCAGCCATTGCCCTGAAGAAATGCGTGCCTGAGCTAGCACCCGCCCTCTCTAAACTGTATAATTACTGCCTCAAGGAATCCTGTTTTCCTGACTGCTGGAAGTCCTCATCCATTGTTCCTGTGTTTAAGAACTCTGGAGACCCCCTCTAATTACCGTCCTATTAGTCTCTTACCCCTCTTCGGCAAAGTCTTCAAAGCCCTAATCAATGCCAAAGTGGTTAATCACTTTACATCTCTTCCACTACGCCCGATCTACAGCTGATGTGCTTACAGCCATCACTGAAACCGTCTACCAAGCCCTTCAAAATAACGGTGAGGCTTGTGCCGTGGCCCTCGACATCTCCAAAGCATTCGATAGGGTTTGGCACGCTGGCCTTCTCCAGCGGTATGGTGTTACTGGTCAACTGTTTGATCTAATACAATCATTCCTGTCAAACTCAGAATTGAAGGTCGTTTTCAACGGATTCTCCTCCAGTTCCTATCCCACGAACGCAGGTGTTCCCCAAGGCTCCATCCTTGGCCCCACTCTTTTCCTTATTTTCATCAATGACCTTCCTGACGCTATACATTCCCAAGTTGGCATCTATTCGGACGACACTACAATTTACTCCTGCCTCAAAAACAAATCTAGTGTCGCATGACAAAACTAACCTGGCCATGCGTCTTGAAATGGACCTCCAATGGGTTGTTAACTGGGGCAAGAATTGGCTGGTCAACTTTTGCATACAAAAACTAAATTACTCTCCATTAACCACCATAGAGATCCTTCCTGCCCCCATTATAATGTCTGATAGTCAACTTCCGAGAGCAACTCCCATGTCTGCTCAGTCTCACGCTGACTGCTGACCTGAGATGGAACAAATACATTGAGTCAATTGCTTCTTTCTACCACTGAGGAAAGTTGGCTCTCTGTGCCGTGCCAGGAAGTTTTTCTCCCTGAATCGATACTTCAAATATACAAAACAACCATTCACCCCTTGCATGGAGTATTGCTGCCATATATGGGCTGGGGCACCTTCTGCTTACCTCGGAGTTCTTGACAAGATTCAGAGACGGATATGTAATCTAATTGGCCCTGATCTAGCGTCTCGTCTGCAGTCACTCTCTCACAGACGCGGCGTCACCTCTCTCTGTCTTTTCTACAAATACTTCCATGGTAACTGCTCTGACGAGCTGCTTTCACTGGTTCCCAGACTCCATGAATTCAAGCGCCCTACGAGGCTGGCATCCCGCTCCCACCCTTACACCGTAGAAACTTTCAAATGTAGCCGTCTTTTCTACTCCAATAGCTTCATACCTCGCACCTCTCACTAGTGGAACACCCTCCCCAATTACTGTTTCCCTGAAAGCTATAATCTCCAACTATTCAAATGTAATGTCAATCGACATCTCCAGTCACCTTGATCTACCCACTATTCCTCTCCTCATCCTTTCTTCTATCACTCCTATCTGCTCTCGCTCCAAATCTTCCGCAACCCCCTGCATCCTAGTGGCTTCACGCCTTGCTTGGGGAGTAATGCTTAAAAAAAAAAAATAAAATATATATATATATATATATATATATATATATATAAGTACAACATATTTATTTGTCATATATACATATTTATACTATTTACATTATGATCATAACTACTGGTAGTTACTATAGTGGTTTTATAACTCAAAAATAATCCCTTCCCATCTACAGACAATTGTCTTTAACAGACCACCCCTCCCCACTATTGGTCAGTTGATGAGAGGTTTGTCTGTAATGTCAATTGACAGAACAAACAGAAAGAGAAATTGCAATTAGTAATTTTTATTTCTCTACATAAAAAAAAAAACCTCATTATTAAGAATAAAGTATAAATATGATAAAGAGAAAATATAAACCTATGCCCAAGTGAAATAAATCTCAAATCAGGTTAGAGTAAAGTTTGATGGACAGTCATCCAATATAAATCCTTATATAGATAATTTTTTTAAAAGTTAACTTAAACATTAAAGTTAAAGGTTGTATCTGGTAAATGTAAAAAATAAAAATTAAAAAAATTAAACACCAATATCAGTTTAGACAAGTATTTGTTTCACTGTTCAAGAAAAAAAAATCTAATAAGCTGTGGTACTTATTTGTATCTATCCTTGTTGATCCATATATTTATTATAAATTCTATCTAAAAAAACAAGTAAATAGTACATTTAAAAATCCCACACAAAAATATTACTTAGTTATCTATATTAAACTGAAAGATCAGCTACAGAGATATCTTTATCAACTCTGCAATGATTCTGAAACTGGGCTGTTTAAAATGGAGTATTTCTACAAACTTCTATCTCCATTTATACATGCTGTATGTTAAAAAAAAAAAAAAATCAGCATACAGCAACATTTAACTATTATATTTTGAAGAAATGATTGAAATATTGGATTAACTTCCAGATATCCCCAGCTAAAAGATAATTTCTTCACTTGAATATCTTGTAATTTATAAAGATAGTAATATTTTGCAATTAAACCTACATACATAAAATAGATCTTATAACTAATGAGTATATATACGTTTTTTCCATTATTTAAATAGATATTTAGGAGATACTGTATGAAAGTAAAATTTGAAAAAAGAAAACCGAATTAATCAGGAGAGTTTTGTGCAGTGCATGCAACAAATACTTATGTTCATTTTCATAGATGTGAGGAGGCAATACTTTCATATATCAAGATAGCACTAAATTACATTTATGGCACATATACAAAAATAATGGTAACAACCTGTTGATTTTTTTCACTAATTCTGTTCTGATAGATACAACAGAAAAAAAAAATTAAATTTCAACAACTGGTAAATTTTGTAATTTGTAAGTAATTTTGAAAATTATTTGATATTCTAGTTTAATAACTCACTCTTTCTAATTCCTCTTCAGTTGGTTCAGGAACTTTTCTGACATCATTATGATATGAAGACCTACAACCAAAGAAAAAAAAAAAAAACTCAAAATATTTTATAAATTGCCATATACATATAGATTCAGTTAAATAGCAATGCGAGATTTTAATAATTATATTTTAATTTTATAATTTTTTAAAATATTATTGAATAAATTTTGTATTGAAAATAATTTATATACCTGTTATCTTCATTGGTCATTGTAAAGAATGAAGAACCCCGTACTTCTTCATCAGAGCTTTCTGAAGGAATTTCATTAATCCATTGATCCAAATCCAGTCTGAATTGCAAGCATATATCCAATTATCATGAATAAGTAATTGTAAAAGATCCATCACATTTTGGTAAAACTGCTAAAATCTTTTGATTTATAAAATTGCCATAACAGCTTACAGATTGATTTTATTTAATTCTAAAATTGAAGGCCTAAATTGTAGTCCAAAGATTATAGATTCCAATTTTTCAACCTAATTTCCAATACATAGTTTTTTTCCCATTTAACTAAGAGAAAAATTTTATGAAATTGAAGCCAAGTTTGAAACAATAAGTTTGCTGAAGCTAATTTGTGAAATAAGTAAACATAAAAAAAAAACAACTCAATATAATCTCTTATTCTGTATCCACTTGGAAAAAAAGACAAGCTTTGAAATTATCTCCATATATTGATTTTATTTAACTATTATCTATTTTTAAGACTGCCTTTCCAATAGTGTGATAACTGATTAATTACAATGAAACAAAAATAGTAATTTTCAAAAAGATAAAACATTTTAGTATTCAACAATATATAAATTGTTTGGAAAAATTCTCATGAAAAACAGCACAAAATATTTTCCTTACTTTTCTGGAACAGGAACTTTCTTCTGAGCTTTCAATGCAACAGGGTTGAGCTCACCAGCAAATAGTAAAGCTAATTCATCAGCTAACTGGTTTCCTTTGTCTTGCAATTTCATTATATATTTTACCAGTTGCAAGACACAACATGCCTATAGAAAATTTACAAGTAAAATAATAAAGTAATAATAAAGAAGGCAATTTTCAGAGATGGTTATTATATTAAAAAATAATCATTCACCTTATCTACTTCCTTTTTAGTTTGTATTTCTTCCTCATCAATTGAAATTCGGAACCTATATGTTTTGTATCATAAAAAACAGTATTCTACAGATATTAGTGTTTACATCATTGAAACATTGCTCAGTCATATTATTTCTTTTTTCTTCTAAAGCAATGTAAGATTGTCTAAAAATGGCAGTAAACTTCTGTAAAAGTAAGTTAATCAACAGTGATTAGAGATGTTAATTCATCCTGCGAGAATAAATCCAAATATTCAGAGAGATAATTCAAATTCATTATTTTGATTATAAATCTACCTATTTTCAAACAGAACTTGTTTAAATTAAAACAATCTTTTTTCTTTTTTTTTAAAATTAAACTGTTAAAAGGAATTGATAAATACTTACTCTTTCTTGCACTTCAAGGTCTGCACTATGTATGAACATAGGTATTTTGTCAAGTAACAATTGACCAATTTCTTTCATCACCACCTCATCATTATCTTCTTCTGCTTTTTTCAGGATGTTGGCATAAAGTTTGAGTAAATTTTGTACATAAACACTCTGAATATGGCCGGGCAAGGCAGTGATTTTAGGTCGCAGCATGGCTTCCAGTGTGGTTTTGGGATCTTTTAGATACCTTATATTTAAAAATGAAAGAAATTCTTTAATCATGATTGAAACTCAACAAAAAAATTTATTAACAAATTCCATGTAATTAGTTTAAGAAAAATGAAACATTAATTTGGAAACATCTTTTCTAGGCTTTGCTTTTATGGAGTATAAAAGAGTACTATTATTTCTGAGAAATTAGACCACTTTTCTCCTTATTCACATGTATTAATTATTTTGTCCTTCAGATTGATGAATTAAGTTTAAAGTTAGCATGAAGGTAAATACTGTTTACAGAAGATTTGCCTTCAAAGTAAATTGGAAATCAATAGTAATGTTTACATGATTCTAAAATATCAATATAAATTTAGTTAAATAACTAATAAGAAACTATATGTAAAAGCAGAAATTTTTGTACAGTACAAAATATCAAAACAAGGTTTATATTAATCAATTTCAATCATTGGTTGTAACCTTTAACTTAGATGTTTTAATAGAATTTATTAAATTAACTGATAAAAGAACATCTGATAAAAATAAGTTAAAGATCAACCTTTTTGGCCAATTTTACTAGTAACCTTTCAATGTTAAAAGAAATTGAGCAAAATACCAGCAAGTGTGAAGCTTAATGGATATTTGAGATTTTTGCTTTATGGTTCATGAAAATTTTACAAAAAGATGTAACTGTGGCTTTAATTATCAAAATCTGGCATGTGTTTAATTTTTAAAAATTATAAGACCATGTAATAATGATATCCATATAAACATCATTCACAAATGATAACTGATTTAAGACAAGTGCCTTGATTAAAAATTAATTTTTATATAGAATTAATTTTTAAAGACAATCCCATGGCCAACTAGCATTATACAGTCCTACATGTCACATAACAAGCTGAATTCTAACAGGCTGATGTAAAAAAAATTAAAAAAAAAAAAGAAACGTGGATATCTGCTTAGAATATTGCTAATCTAAAAAAGGTAATTTTAAAAATTGAAATCTTAGAACATAAACAACGTACAATTACATAGAATTTATCAGATGTTATTTCAATTCCCTATACATGTTTTCAACACTAAAATACATATTTATAACTTTTTTTTTTTTTACTAATCCACAAATTATAAACAGCTGTGAGTTACCTTGCTTTTATGATTTTCAATTATGTATACAGCCCATTTTGCAAATGATCGGTATTAGGTAAATTTTCTACCTCATAGTCCATTACATTTAAAAAATTAAATTATAAAGTTTGTTGTGATATTTTGTTTAACAAAAATGGTTAACAAATGTGTTGCATTTTGCTGTTCTAGTGGATATGTTACTAACAGTGAAAAAGTATCAACATTTTTTTTTTCATTTTGGAAAATCTAACCTTGTAGAAAAATGGATAAAATTTGTTAATTGTATTCATTGGTTTTCTATAAAAAAATTCAGTTCTCTGTATGAAACATTTTGAAGAGAAATTAATTTTGAAAGCAAAACAGGCAGTTTGTGACAGATATTAGATTATAAAACCCCTACTTTGAATCTGATCAGACTACTTGTAACTGACAACACTAGCCAACAAAGTAACTTGTTTCTGCCAACACAAACCATGAAAATCACCTAGGCAACATTGGACAACAATCCAGAGTTAAAAAGAAAACAAAAAACAAAAGAAAAAATACTAAACAATTAACAAAGAAAATTAAAAAACTAGTTAATGCTTTGAGAAACCAATATATCCAAAAAATTGGAAACAAAATTAATCAAGCCAAGCAGCATAAACAATGTGTTAAAATGCGAAGAAAAGCAAAAACTCACAATAACATCATACAATCAAAAACAACACAGAAAAAATATCCTGGTTTCAAAATACACTTTGAATCACATTTCAACCCTGATCACATTAAACTAAAGATACTGACAGGAACAGAACCATATACTAATATACATCCAATTATTACAAAGTCCATTTCCAAACAAATAATAATGAACCTACAAACAAGAAAACTAAGAAAGCTATTAAAAAGCTAAGGCATAATAAAGTATCACTAGATATTGAGACTGAACCATAGTGTGCTATACTCCAGGCCTGCCCATGGCGCAACTGAGAGCCAGAACTGGAGGCCTATTGAAAAATGTTAGATTTTCAGAAATTTGTAAGAAAGTTAACTATTTTTGAAAATACTTAGAATAACATTTTGACCCATACCTGAAGACAATAGGATGTGCTGGAAGTTAAATAAATGAAAATATGTATTTTTGTTGTGGACACTGATATGTATTAAACAAAACAAAGAGGTAAAGATTTCTGGTAAAAGATATGGTCTACATAATATTGAAACAAAAACATCACTATTTACAGATTTCACTAAACACTTCATTGAATCTACCCACAGGAATTGATTAAAGAATTTGGTTCAAATTTCCATTAAAATTACTTCAACAAGAAGAACCTGAAGAAAGCTGGAGGACATCAGCTGAAATTTGTATATGACAATTAATCATCTCAGAAATATAGACTGATAAAACAAAATCATTCTAGGAAAGTTTCAAAACCTTTAAAAGCTGGTTCTTTGTCTGATCTGGGTGTGCAATGCTTGCAAAAATATGAGCATGCTTTCTCTCAATGTTGAAAAAAAAAAAATGAAACTCAGAAGTAAGCATAAAAATGTTACTTAATGATTTATAACACACCTACTGCTTTATTGTATGGAAAAGACTGAAACAAAAAAATAACCATTGGTAAGTGTGGTCAGAAGAAAGATTTAATTTTCCATGGTCAAGTGAATTGGTATATTTTCCATACTTTTCATCATAAAAATGGGTTTCATATTCACTGGGTTGATTCTCATTTCTTGTAATATATCCAGCTATGTACACAAGAGCCATTTTTATTTTATCAGAAAGAGATGGTTCTAAATTTTTCAGATTGACAAATATCTCTGAACCTTCCTCACAAAATTCAGAATCACAAAGAGTACATTGGTGACCTGGCTTAACATCAAAAGCATCAATATTTACATTCTGATTTAAAAGTAAAGAATCTGTTTAATATGCAGCTTTTCAATACACTGTTGGATATTTATAAAATAGGTGCCACCTGATCCTTGAAGAAGTTTACTAAATTCTTTTTCTAATGGATCAGTTGTAAAGTAGAACATATTTATGGCTTGTAGATAAAAGGTATTGAGATAGACTAACAATTTCATCATGGAGAATTATGCACACTTTTTGACTGACATTAAAATTATTAAATACAGATAGCAAAAATGATTTTTGATTAAGTTTTGAAACTTTTGATGTCATCCTTCTTAATGTTACTAATGATGGTAATTGAAAATCCTGTCTTAATCTCTTATACAATGATCATAATGTTGCATCACACTCAAAAGCATGTATTACTATATTTGAGCTGTATTTCATTCCAACCATTTTGTGAGGCCATTGCTGTAAAGTGCTGACTCTCGATATCCTGCTTGTGATCAAAAACCATAGAATTTAAATATCAGATAATTTCTTCCAATGTTGACCAAGTATCAACTGTATTTATATGGTTTTTGAACAGGCTACTAATATAACACTTAGCTCCATAATGAAATGTTTCAACCTTCAATTTTTTATAAATTCTCAACTAAAGAGAGGGATAACTTTTGATGACTGAACAGTCAAAATACTTTCAGTCAAAAATGTTACAACTGGATACACAAAGTCTTTTTTGTTGTTGATTAGATTTTCTTTCAAATTTGTATAATTAGCCTTATCTAATTCTAAAAAAGCATTCATTTCATCAATTTGATTTCGAGCAGTACTGGATATTTTTTTTTTTTATATCCCTTTGAATAGCAGAGGGTGTTGGTATTTAACTCTTTGGCACACCTGTCCATACAAATAGTTGATTTTTGGAGCACATTTTTCCATGAACTTTTATGGTATCAAAATTTGAAGGCCAAAGTAGTTGACAAATAACTGTATTGTTTGTAAGATTTAGATTGGCATTTGGAACTGATTTTATCTATCACTCTTATCTTTGTCTTTTGGAAAACAATAAAATGATATTTTGTTCATCTCACACACAGTTTTGTCTTGCTGCTTCTGTAATTTGTTTTGCAAGCAATGACAACACTTCTAGAGCATAGTTGGAAACTAGGTAATATCTGAAATTATTAAGATTCTTAAGCACAATTATTTCTTCTACTGCTTCAATTTAGGGGTAAATTTTCAAGTCAAATTATACTCTTATAATCCCAACTTTGACCTACACCCCCATACCAATAAGTTAAAAACAGAAATTTTAGAGGGTTGCCTTAAACCTGAGAATCCACTTTTTAGATTGATTTTTTTTTTGTATACTGGTTTTAGGGTATATTAACAAAGGTTTGCAAAATATTACATAATCTTTTAATTAATTATAGAGTTAAGTATTTAAATTCCTGTCACTTGTCAACATAAATTCAGTTATTGCCTGGCTCTCTCCCAGAGTGCTGCTCCTCCAGGCAACACCTCCTCACTCAATTTAAAGTGGGGACTGGGGGTTTTGCCTGGTACCTGAGGGAAGAGGGCTTTGGCTATTTTTGAGACAATGCTTTGTGGTGGGGCAATCCACCACAGTGCACTTTAATCTCAGCCTTCTTGTATGAAAAATTAGTTTCATGCCCAACTTGAGTAAATAAATAAATACTTTATAGAAGAACCTGAAAAAAATGACTGAGCAGCAAACAACTCAGTTAATATTTCATCCCTGCATTTTTAGAATATCGAATTAAATAATTAAATTTTATTATATGACATAAGCCACCTTCCACTATATTATGACTTGGCCGTCTAATACAGAATGCCATGGGCTAAACCTTTTGAAAATAGCTCACTTCCTAGATTCAATAACAAGTTTCTCTGTTTTCTAAAGGAAGTTTGGAATCAGAAATGCAGCCTCAAAAAGTGGGGTTTATTGTGCATTAATGCACTATGGAAACAAGAAGGTACCCCCTCAAGATCTACAAACATAAAATAGTATGTCAATTGGATCCATTATGTTAAAAATATTAAGAAACATTATATTAACTAGGCTCTCATAGTTTTATGACAGTCAACTCTTCACAACTTGGTTTTCATTCTGGTAATAGATTTAAAGATACTATCAAACAATTCCAATAAATAACATGCCTCTCTAATAGGAAATTGTATATCAGCTATGTTGACATTAACAGCATATGAGCACATCAATAGAGACTTTGTCTTCTCATTAACTTCAAAAAATATCTTGTTTTATGGATCAGTTAAAACAAATTTAGTAAACAGGAGATAAGGAAATTGAACATAGAATAGACTGTGCTAGAGATAGTCTTCCCAACAATTCTTCAAACATTGCAGACTGGCACTACAGAATCACAAACAATGAACTGTACCAAATAATAGAAACCATATCACTTGAGGACTTTCAACAGTAGCAACAACTAAAATGGTTTTCACAGGTAACTCTAAGAGAAAATAATGACATAATCAAGATGTTGATGTTCCACACTACTTGAAATAAAATGTTAGGAAGGAAGTACTCATCAATACTGGAAAGAGTGATAGTAGCTACTGGACTTTAGAAACCTGTTTCCCTATAAAATTGTTTTAAAAGAAAGACTTTATAAATTTCAACTGAAAGCATTACCATTACCAATATCAAGTAAGTATTATTAATATCCATTTAATATACCAAAGACAGCATAGTTTTAAAAGTAACATTGTGAAGCTTACTAGAAAGAAAAATGAGTAAATATTTTACTCATAATGAAACACATAATGCTTAAAAATATGAACTCGTGAAGGCTTATGGATAAAATAAACTGAGCTACAAGAATTAAATATAAAGATTATTTTAATCAGATCTAGTTAGCAAAAATGTAAGCTCAAACCAAGCACATTACATGAAAAAAACATTCAAATAGAGAAATTAATTTTTTTTACTCTGAGAACTCTCCGCAGATCCAAGCAGCAGCATACAGCACTTCACAAATTCCATTTCTCTGAGAGTTGGATGCCAGTACATGGGAATTATCCAACAGTACAGCCTGAAATAAAATTTAAATGAGCTATTTCACAAAATCTTAACACAATCTATTTAATTTTCCCTAATGGGTGATTTAAAAAAATGTTTCTGCAGTATAAATTCAAATATAACAGGAGGCATACTTGAATATTAATATATTAATAATTGTATAGATTATCTTATTAGGAATTAAAATGATAATTATATGATATAAAGTTATTTTCAGCAAGGAACAAATTTTTAACATTTAAAATTTAGTGAAAGGCCATCAAAATAATTTAATAATGGAAACTAGACACATTAATACATTTATATACCTCAAAAACACAAATGTCAGATAGAATTTGAATTCTGACCTACAATATTTTAGTGCATTAGTTATGACTTACAATATTCATTTACAATTGTTGTTGAGAAAAAATGTGCTATATTAATTTCATATATATTAGACACAAACAATAAAAAAGAAATCTGACAATGCACAGTTATTGCTTACTGTTGTGTTATGATATAGTCAAAGATTTAAATACATTTAGTTTTTGTGTATAAGTGGTAAGAACAAATTCCCATGAAATTGTACAAAATATATTAAATACCCACCATTTGTTGTACTGCAAAATTCCTAATTGTTTGTACCCGTATTGCAACATCCAACATTTGACTAGCAATAAGTTTACCATGCTGCGTGCCTTCCATTCGCGTCAGTTCAACTAATATACTGACATACCTGGAATCAATAAACATTTGTCAGTTAAAAACTTACAATTAGAAGTAATGATCAATATGAATAATTTTTATTAAAAAACCAAAACAACCATGTTTTTTTAAATTGACAGTATTTTAACAATAAAAAAAAATTAATTAATTAGGTCTTCAACTTTAGAAGCCAGAATATTATATAAGTCTCCTTCATCAATGCACTTAATTCAGTGGAGAATGTTTATTGAAGATTGAATATTAGATCAAAATTTAGTTTATAATTACATATTAAGCTACAGTTATCCACTTTGTGTGTATATATAAGAATGGGAGAAATAGAATTTTTAAATTAAATTTTTTACTTAAAATAGTAATTATTCAACATTTAAAAAAAAAGTACCAACACATAAATTTCAAACAGTTTCAGAGATAGCAACAAGGTATTAGATAAACTATTTAGTAAATAGAGGATATTATTTTGAAATAGCTTGAATTTCATTAAATACTACAATGGATTACTTTACAAAATATTAAAAAGAAATAACTTAACAGAAAAATTAATCTATATTTTATTTACCATTCAAAATTGGTGACATATTGATAATTTGACTGGCTACAGATCTCTATAATCTTGGATAACAGCTCATCTCTATAATGGGAACCTTCAGCTTTGTCCATGTGAATCATCAATTTCTTGACAATTTCCATAAGATTTTTCTTTGAAACCTGGGGTAGAGAAAGTGAAATCATTTTTCATACAAAACTACCATTGAGCAGTAATCATTAGAGGAATATATCCTTGTCAATGACAGAATGGAAGTTTTAGATATATCCTGCAATTATACTAAAATGCTTTCCAATATTGTATTACAAGGGTATAATTATTTTAAAACTATGTATTTTTTGTAGATAAAATTCAACAGATTTATAACCACTGAAAATTAGCAAGCTGTCCTGAAAGTAAGTGATAATAGACAAAAATGAGTTTGTATATCAGATAAAACACAATAAAATTGTCACTGTGATGTATAAGTAGATTTTATATAGACGCATTAATCGATCGATATACAATATATATATAGACATAATGGTTACCAGCATGCAAAATGGAATTAGATTTAAAATTTCATCTGTGAGATTTTGTGTTCACTTCATCCCTGGGAAAAAATATGCATCCATCTCTGCTCCCCCTGCTACTGGTAAAATAGTAGAGCAGAGTGGGTTCCAGTCTTAGTAGAACAACTAGTCTAGCAGAAGGACAACTGAGAGGCAAATGAAAGCAATGAGAGATCACTACCTTTCCTATGAACAGGTGTGCCAATTTACAAATATTAAAGAAAAAGTAGCTGTGGAGAACCATGATTGCTGAAGGTACATAGCATTAAAAAATGAGAATCAATAAGTTTACAATCTGATGAAAAAAAAAACATTTTGCACAAATATATTTCAATAATCTTCTCGATCATTGCACTTAATTCAGTGATGACTGTATTATTACAGTGAAAATTTCAGATCAAAATTCATGTAATAATTATGACAGACTATAAATTTAATAGATTTATACAAAGATATATCAATTAATTTTTAAAATATTTTTAAAGTAATATGAATACAAAAAAAAAAAAAAAAAATTGTACTTACCATTCCATACAAGAGATCAAGAGCTCGAAGCCTTATAGACTCATCCTTGTCATCTAGACATTGAAGAATGAGATCTTTGTGGGCCTGTACACTCTTAGGATGAGTAGCCAAGATTTTGGACATCGCTAATAAACCCAGATATTTTACTGAAACACAAATGTTTTATCATCAAGACAACTGTTAGAATTTATCAAAAATCATATGAGGATTATTCCTCTAATCTCCATGACTCAATTTCAAATAATCATAATAGTAAATACAAATGGCCACCCATCTAGGTAGTGACCAGGCTCAATGTTGCTTAACTTCAGTGATCATATAATTAAATACAGAAAATAAGCCTTTTATTAAAACTGAATAAACTAGTAATCGGTGTAACTAATAAAAATATAAAATTGTTCTTCTCTAAACTCCAGTTAATTGAATCCGGTTTCTTTTGTTAATCTTCCTAATGGAGATTCTCAAAGTGTTCACATCATATTTTTACGAGACAAGAAGAGTTAACACTGTCCTATTTATTAGTAAACTAGAAAAAAAAAATCAACTATTTACTGAAACAAGTAACAAGCACTAGTTGAATATGCTGAGACAGTAATTTAGATTGCTTATATCATCTGGGAGATATCACACTTTTCTTCTTGTCAGAATTGATTACAAGTTAGATAACAAAAGCTTAGTAGATACTCTATACTACTAAATGTGTCAAAGTCAGAAGACTTAAGGATCGATGTTGCCACTCTGTGAGACACGTTAAATAGCAAAGAGATAATATTTCTTGGGCAGGTACTTCATAGCAAGTTTCATACAACTTTGCCAAGAGAAGAGTACCCACAGAGCAACTACAGGCTGCTATTAAGAATTTATCTAGAATATAGTGAGATGCAAAATAATTAAGACAGCAAAAAGTATTAATGCATAAACTGTTTGGTACCAGAATGGTTCTAGTATAAAGCCACAGGTCATAAACGGAGCTACTATATCGTATAGTCACTGATTTCAACAGCTGACACTTTATTCAGAACGCACATCAAAAATCATTATAAGTTACTTCCCCATTTTATTCATATATATATATATATATATATATATATTTTTTTTTTGTATTTTTTTTACCGTTTTACATATTTTTAAGTTATTTTTTCTTTATATAAACTATCTATTTATGGTTATTATTTTTTCTATATTTGTTTGCTAGCATAGATTTGGGAATGTTTTAAAAAAAAAAAAGTGTGTTTTTTGTTCTTTTGTTTATAACAAATATTTTTTATTTTCTATCTTAATTATTCAAATTGTTTGAACTCTGTCTTTAATTTTGTGATTCATTTTCAACCTGACTTGGGATGTTAAAATTTTAAAATATAGGTCATAGTTATGATAACATCTCTATTTAAGCCAGACATTTCCACTTCCCCCCTTCCATTTTGTGTTAATTTAATATCTACATTTTCATTGGCTTCTTTTCTTGTCTTCTTTCTCTCTTTCTTTCTTTTTTAAACATTTAAATTTTAAATTCCTATTTTATACCTTCACTTCCGAGTTGAAAATGCCAACATAAGACTTGCTGATTGAAATAGATATTTTGATGAGGTAAATTTGAATTTCTATTTTATGTAATTTAAAGGTTAATGCTCAGAGATGAATCAGACCAGGACACAGTAGTATTAAAAAGTGTGAAAAAACAAAAATAATATGTAAAGTTTTTAATAGATATATTTACCAAAATTACACAAAAATATCTTGAAAAAAACTAAAGAGTTAAATTTATTCAATAAAATCACCATTGGCTTCAACCATGGCCTCCAGACAACTTTGGGATTTCCTGCAACTCTTCTGGACGTTCTCCTTGTTTAAATTGGCGAATGCTGCCATAATCCTTGTCTTCAATTCATCTTTGGTGTTACAAGGAACTTGGTCTTTCAGTGAAATGCACCCCACACATAATAATCAAGGGGGTTGCAGTCCGGAGAGTTAGGTGGCCTGATGTAAGTGGTGATGTGGCTGCAAAAATTGTCTGACAGCCATGACTGGGTTCTCCTGTAGGGTAGCACTACCTCCTCAAGGCACTTGATGTAGGCCTCCGTATTGAGTCTGAGGCCACATGAGAAGATGAATGAAGGCATAACATCACCATGACTAGTGATCACTCAAAACACCATGATGTTGATTGGATATATCATCCAACTCTTTTTGAATCTGTGTTTTTATATATATATATATATATATATATATACACACACACACAATATTCCAAGACATGATTTGATACTTAAATATAGCAAAAATTTAAAAAAAACAACAAAAAAAACAAACATGTGATGAGCATTAAACAGTAGATGGTTTAAACAATATCAAATGCAAGAGATAATAAGTCAATGAAATGAATCATTGCTAACCATACCAAAAGCTGGTTTTCATCCAAAGGGGATAGTATGTATATGGTGGTATTAGAAAAGAGTTCTCTACTTTTAGGAAAATCTAATGATTAATTTGAACTAGTATTGCTCTCAATTAGTCCACTTAATGACAGCAAACAATGAAAAGTATGCAAAATTAATTAATAGTTAATTCCAATCTGTACAAATTTCTTTTAATGGAAAAAAAAATTCAAATTTCTGAAAGATTGTAAAAAGGTGTTTAGAGCTAAGAAAGATAAGTTCTAAGAGGAAAGAATTATGAAATTGCCTGAAAGATGGCAAAAAAGTGTAACAATATTGAAAATATGTTTTCAATAAAATTCATGTTAGAATAAAAAAAGTCTTATTCTTATTTGATAAATCAAACATTTTTACCATACAATATGTACCCCCACCAAAGTAACTAGTTTTCAAGTTGTTCTTTTTGTAAATATTCATTGTTGATTCATTCAAAGTAACTGTGTGTGTGTGTGTGTGTGTGGATAGATAGATAGATAGATAGATAAAGTAATCACATAAACAAAAAAGAATATCAGCACTACTTACAGTTTTGATCAGAATCCTCAATCAGGATCCTTAACTTTTGAACACACAGCTGAAATAAGAACAAGAGAAAGTGAATATAGTCCTAATGTTTGAAATACAATATTATATGTATTATATTCATACTTACTTGATCCAATTAGATTCTCAAGAGAGAAAGAAAAATCACGTTTTATATAACAAACTAATTCACACGCAACACTCAAACTGGTGGTGATATGGGAGAAAAGAATGAACCAAAATGATAGATAAAAGCAAAAAATGAATTATTCCCATTTTATAAAACCAATTATTACAATATTATATGTCATTTGAAAATTTAAACATTATCTATTGTTACTATCAACCTAAACTACAAAATTTTATAAGAAAATCAAACTTGTACCTTTTATCTGAAATACCAAGAAAAGCAAAATTATTGGAAACTTCTGGGAAATGCAAGCAATTTCTTTAAATGATAATACTATTTTTAAGCTGTGTCAATATTTCCCTTTTAGAAATATTAATGAATCACAGAAATGTGTTTCTCTTAGTGTTATTTTTGCTACAATAGTAATACATATATTTCTAAAATTCTGTAATTTAGTTTAATTTTAATTTTCTAATACATGAGAGAGTGTGCATATCATGATTGTTGACTAGGTTTCATCTTACTGTTGCTTTTTATCAAAATATCCTCAGTCAGTGTTCCTTCTAAGCAGTGTGAAATTTAAAAAACAAAAAGAAGTAGTTTTTGACAAGAGTGAATATTGCATCCTATATTTTAGGCACTCATCTAACATGGGCAATGTGTTAACCATATTTGTTACATAACCTTATGGTTAGACAGTTTAATTCTAGTCATGCTGCCACTTTATCCTTTGAATTCTTTATACCATATTGTTTGTTTACTATGTAGTAGCTAGTAAGAGTATTAAATTATTTGGATTCTGGGATTAAATATTTTCATTATTATTTAGGTTATATTTTTTATTTAGATTTCACAATGCTGTCACAGACAGTATGACAAATTGAAACATTATAAGAAAAAAATAATGTAAAAATTAATCAAAACTTAATGAAAAATACAACAGCTCATAATTTAAACAAAATCATGTCTCATTTCCAATTTATATACCCCAAATAGAAACTTTTCTTCTATATTTAGATCTAAATGTTAGATTATTTCAATTTTAATTCACATATCAAGATCACTTGTTTTCTGTTTTCAAAATTTATATTTTCTACCTTTCTATGGATTTTTTTTTTAATGGAATAATTCACTTTTCACATTAGATGTAAATGAATTATTCACCCTACAAACATGGCTTCTAAGTTTCCAACTACAGGAGCCACGAAAGAACATTTCATTTTAAAGCTAAACAAATTTTAAACAATAAGTCACAAAGTCTAAAACATTATTTTTCTCATAAAGAAGTGAGTACAGATTGAAAATATCGAAGAAAGCTGGAGCCACAATAAGGAAAGAAAATGAAGCAAAATTAAACAGAGAAAAACAGAATCTAGTAAAAATCAAAAGGAAATAATTTTTCCAAGGAAGTTTACAAAAAACAAGATAAAGAATCTAATTAGGAGATACTAAATAGTGTTATCTTAAAAATAAAAAAAATTAAAAACAAATTATATATAAACTGAAAAAGAGAAAGAAAAACAGCATGTAGCTCCACCATTCATTAGAATAACAGCAGCTACTACACAACATTCCATGGAGTCTACACTGTGTAAGAGTCACTGCATGTGTATATCTATCCAAGCACGTGTTTATTAATATGGCAGCAGGGAATTTACGTCCTACATATTCAATGGGAGTTAAATCTGGCAAGCACAAGATTAAGAGAGTATTAATAAGTCAGGTGGATGGGTAGGTAGATAGATAGATAGATAATTAAATGTACTCTTGTCCAAACTCTGGGTTTTGTGGAAATTTGTTGTTATATACTTTTAAAACATTAATTTGTATAATAACTATATAAATTTCAATTTTGAAATTTGCTCAAACTTGCAGGTATCAAGATTTTTACAAAACTTTTTTTAATGACTTCTTGGAATAATTTCTAACAGAGGTTTTAATATTTATATGTATTTTTTTAAAATAAAAAAAAATCATGAAAAAGCAAAGATTTAAACCAATTTAAAGATATTCTCAAGTTTAAACTTTTAGTAAATGATGTTTCCATATACATCAGCCAGGTTCTCATGAATGATCTTGAATAACATAGAATTTAGAAAATAAATTATTTTTGAATGTCTTTGACAGCATGCAATATCCTCTAGTGAAATTAAAAAAATATGAAAAATATCACCAAAACATTTTTATAAAATAAAGTTAATTCGACAACTTTGTCTTCGTGTATATGTATAGAGGAAACAATGCAATTGGTTTTCTTTAAAAAAAGAAATATTTTGACTTAAATACATAAGCATAACTATCATAAAAAATATAAAGACTGAATAGTTAAAAAATATACTTAGAATTAACAAATATTTTTGTGGAGAAGTCAAAACCTTCAAGTTCTTATTCAGCAATGACAGAAATAAACAAATTTGCAATTTTAGTTATGAAGACAGTGTTTGTAGTTTTCATTAAAATATATAAATGGTGAAAATGCAAGCTTAAGATGAAAAATTTTAATTTAGAGAAAAATAATAATTCTCTAAGATTTACCTTCTGATTTACTGTAATGGTTGTGAAAAATATATTTTTATTTTCCTCAAATTTGTCTCAATCATTAGGTGACCAAAATAAAAAGTCAAAATGTAACTTTTTTTCTTATCAAATTAAATATAAATGTTGAGTTGATGATATATTTTGTAATGTGAAATACAGAAGAGACAGCCCAGACCCATAGAATAAGTAAAGCTGTCATACCTTAATATATCAAAAAGCAAATAAAAGAAAGGAATCATTTTTTAATTTAATAATAAAAAAAAATTAAAAAAAAAAAAAAAGTACACTTTAGATTCATACAACTTTTCATACAGAGGAAAATTTATGTATTGATACCAGTATTCTTTTTATAGAATGAAGATTTTTTTTTAAGTCACGGTAATGCGTATAAGTAGGAAAATGAGAAATATATAATAGGTTTCATTATTAAGGTAAATCAAGCTATTTCTTTGTAGCAAATACGCATTATTCTGGATTTTGTTAATAGTTTCCTCAGTTTAAAAAAATGAGTAGTTTTACTTGCAAAATATTTTCAAAACATTCAAAGAAACTATTCATCACTGATTTAGTTCATCACTTGATGAGAACAGAGAGGGTCTTTTGATAAAAGAAAGAACATTAATTTTCAATGTAAAGTTTGAAATTTCGACAAAAAGTCTGAAGATTAGAAAATAACCATCCAGATAGCTCTTCATCTGCCAGCATCAAATATTTCTATTTCTTTCATCATCATCATCATCACCACCACCACCACCACTACTACTACCACCACCACCATAGCACTGGGAACTCAGATGCTTTATGCATCACATGATTTTGCAAAGTTCTTTACTCTCTGAGAATTATCTTTCATTAAAACAGAGCAACATAATGTAATAACACTTGCATTAAAAATTACCTTGTGGTAACAATGTAAGATTTAACTAGCAGTGTTACATGAAGCCTATTTGTTTTCTCTTATTTCAAATTCTACCCAATATCTTACAACATGAAATGAATTAAGCATCTTCAGTGAATTCCAATATACTAGCTTATAAACTACAAAAAAAAAAAAAAAAAAAACCGATAAAATCACACATTGTGAGTGTTACAATGAAAGAGAATAGCAAACTAATTCAGATAAAACTCTAAGACAGGTAAAGCAATACAGAACAAGATTGTGTGACAGCTTTTTGGTAATTAAAATGTCTTGTAAAACATGCTTTTCTTTAACTTCCTGCCCATGATTCTGTTTCATCTGGATTAAAAATATGAGTGCATTTTTAAAAATCAAGAATATGTAAAAGAATTAAAATAAAAATGTAAAATTCATAGCACTAAGCAACCTGGAAATGTGCTACTGTATACATTCCAAATGAGCCATTTCTTTATACAATTAAGAGTATCTAATATTTGTTAATTAGAAAATGTCTTCTTGTTGTAAAGGCTAATCAAAAAATATTATTTGCCGATAAAAGTTAAAAGTAATTGCAAAAACATTTGTAAGTAATGAACATAACATTAAGTTAATATTTTGTTTATGTACATCATCCTTAGAACATTAACATATTTTTAGTCAAATACTAATTTTTTTTTCCAAAGTCACATTGATTTTTCACATGCTAATATTACTTAATTTTGGGGCCAATAAAAAATATTCTAAATAGACAATTTTCTCTCTTTAGAGAACAAAAGTTTATATAAGTTTATCCAGTTATGTGACAGTCTTAGAAATAGACAAGCCAAGAGTAGGATTTGAATAAAGAACCAACACATAGTATTTGTTGAAGATAATTAAGTTATCATTTTAGTGTGGTGACTGATAAATATATTTATACAACTTCATATATTTATCATTTTAGATTAAGGTTCAAGAAAGATTTTCAATCTTCAACTAATAGCATTTTGAAAATTGTACCATGTCTATTCAAATATGATAATTTAAAAAAGTGAAACATTACAAAAAATAAATTATCCAAACTACTCTTTAGAAGATTGAATAGAAAATGTGAAAAAAAAAAAAAAAAAAAAGTTTCAATCAAATTTTCCAACTTTTTCATTTCAACAAGTAAAACACCTTCATCTGACAAAGATTGGAATATTTTTCAAAATGTTATCTTAAAAATGAACTTTTGAATAAATGTATAAATTAATAATTTGCTTAGAATATAAAACTTCACTAATTGTTTATTCTATAGTGCATATAACCGAATTTCTTGTTTTTTTATATCAACTTTCACAGTAATCACCAGCTTGATTCATTATGATTCAATCAAAATATAGAGCACATTCCACAACACTGAACACTAGTCAGGTGACAAACGTAGTTGGCTGCTATAAAGGGGAATAATAACTGTAAACATATTGCTACAACAGAAACAGTACATGTAATAATACAAAAGAAG